CAGCTCAAAACTGGAAATAACTGAGAAGCAATTTAAATCTTTCCTGACATCTGTTGAAAAATACCCAAGAAAGTTTGCATTTATAACACCAGCAACCGATCCTAAAATCCTCTTGCGTTATCTCTCTCTTAATTGCACTCCGTGTTCTTCTCTTTCCCCCCTCTGCCCACCACACCCCCCACCCAAGCTTCATGGCTCTCTCCAAAACCTGGCCTGGGATGGTTCCTTTAGTTTCTTCGCCTTTTCCTTCTGCCTCCCAAGGAAATGTAGTATCTTTGACGTCCACAGCTCTCATGTCATCCAGGTTTTTTCCTCCTGGGGTGAGGGGGAGCAATGGGGAGAAGCATGCAGATGGAGGAAGAGAATATGATGAATATTCATATTTTTCTCTTACCCATCTCAAACATATTTATGTTAAATGAACCCTCAGGGCACTGGGTGGCTCAGTTGGTTAAGCATCCGACTCTTGATTTCAGCTCAGGTCAGGATCTCAGGGCCCTGAGGTCAAGCCCCACATCTGGCCCCAGGCTGGGCATGGAGCATGCTTAAGCTTCTCTCCCTCTCCCTCAGCCCCTCCCCACTCTCTAAAAAATAAATAAATAAATAGAATGAACCTCTTTGGAGCAGTAGAAAAAACAAGGGACTCTGATTTGAAGTCCTTATTGCTGAGCAGCACTCACCATTCCCGTTTTTCAGACTTTTTACCAGCATACCACATCTCCCACGAGGCCCAAAGGATGAGCTTAGAGACTTCTAGAAAAAGGCATTCACTTTTTTTTACTTCATGAGCCACATCTGGCAGAGTAATCAGAAAGTTTGGGTGTCATTTTAGCACAGTTTCTTCAATGACGCTGTTTTCATTGTGTCTGCTTTTGATAGATCCGTAGCAGAGATTTTACTGAGTGACAGTCTAAAACCTAAGCTGGTGGTGTTCACTGCTGTGCTTCCTCGTCACCCACACAGCAAAACGTAGCACTGATAAATGGGTTTAATTACTCTGTCCAAAACAAAAAGGCAGCCATAATTACCATGGGGTGAAATTATGTGAGGATGCTTTCATTCTTCATCTTGGCGAACAATTCAGCAGGCTGTCCAACTACTGATGCAACGTTCGCTTTGTTTGTATAAACACGAGCCCTGTATAAAACTAATGGACAACCCAGGTCAGGCCTAGGCAAAATGAATCATGGAAAAACAAAGTGCTTGGGCTGTGTATATTTTCATCCCGCTTCAAGTGACCTTTCTTTGAAAGCCTTGGGGAAGTGGTGACATCTCAGACAACATCTGAAAAGAAGAGACATCCACAATGCTTGCCAGACACAAGTGGATTTCGCCCATTATTTTTATGCAGGAAGGATGTTTCTGGGGGGCAAAAACTCCTCATCTTTACACTGCAATCTCAGAGACATTACGGGCACAACCCTCTTCTAGACCTGATTGATTTTCCATGACAGCTTTTCTCCTTGTTGTTTGTTTTTCATGCTAGGTGGATGATTTCTGAGGTTAGGGTTTTCATGTCCTCACATAACAATTTCCGTTGGTACCTTTGTAGCCTTTCCTAAGACAAGGACTGTCTTCTGGCCAATAGTGTCAGGCAGGGGGAGCTCAAGACCATTCTTTGGACCTTTAGAGGAAGGAGAAATGTAATGAAGAACATTGAGACAATGTTTTACTTAAGCAGCAACCCCCCCCAAACAAACAGCACAGTATTTGATGATTAAAACCAGGTTGACAATGTTGAATCCTGTGATCTCCTCTTTCCAATCTCTGCCTTTCCACCCGCACTAAATGATAATACTTATTCTGAACTAAATCTTAACCTTCTTTCATCCTCAAAGAACTCAAAGAAGACTCAGCTAGGTAGGATAAGCGTGAAGGATAAGGGAAAATGACTGTTTTTAATCTGAATTGCTTGGATCCTTCCCACCTACAGGTGAACAGGGATATTGTGTCGGGCCTGAAATACGTTCAGCATACCTACCGGACTGGGGTGAAAGGTAAGGAACCCACACTTCACACTGTCCCAAACTCTGCTCCCCACTGATACTTGAACTTCTGCTTATCAACAATTTTAGTCATAGACTCGCTTAAGAATCTGACAAAAAGCTGTGGACACTCTCCCTAGGAAAGAGCACACATAGACCTCTGACCTAGACATTAATGGCAAGGCCTACATTCAGAGATCTAGTTTAGACTGGGTCAACCTTCAGCATTTGGCTTCTGTGATTAAGTTTATTATTCACAAAGGGGAAGAGTAATCAAGATAATATTGAATAAAAATGGAGTCTATTAAAATACTCTCAAGAGTAAAAAAAAAAAAAAAAGCACTTCAGAGGTATAAACTTAAGTGTCAGAGAAATCCAAGACTGGAATGTTCTATCCAGCGGCAAGTGTGGTTTTTTTAGAATGGGAGTTGTAAGTAGCATGTGGGCAGGTGGGGATGGGGAAGCAGGGGGCAGCCCTTATTTTAAAACAAAGAAATGGAATTCTTTCTAGAATTAAGAAAAGCTATGATTGAGACATAATACAACATTATTTGAGGTGCCGTTGCTCTTGACAAGTTGTACCTAAACTGTACGTGCCTTGGGGAACGCCTTCAGTTTCCTTCCATTCTTATGGGCAGGGAGAAATGAAAATTGGAAAGGTGATGGAAATACTTGTACAGTTCCCTTTTGCCTCGGGGGCTGTCTTCTTTCAGGGGTGGGAAACAGTAAGGCACAGGTCAGTTCCCCCAAATTAATAAACAAAGGATTCGAGGGGAAATTGTTTGACAAATTTGCATGACTTGGACGACCACTCAATTACTCGGATCCCACAGAAGGTTGTTGACCTGGAAGATCTTAACTGGTCTTTCCAGGACCAAGTCTCATGAAAAAAATACTTCAACTTCCTATTTTCCTTTGGGTCTAGAGTCTATGTTGCCTCACTTAGGCAAGAGGACGATGATCTGTCTGTAGTTGTTCCTCCAAACTTATTCATAACACTTAGCAGCTAACTACACATTGCCTGTCTATCTGCCTGCCTACCTTTAGTTATACTTTCTAATGCCCTCTTTTTCTTAATATATGTCCCAGTTATTCACCTATTAATAACTTTGGTTGGCTATTTTCAACATTTGTCCCAGTTCTTCACTTTTTTTTTTTTAACCAAAGTATTGGTTTTCCCTCTCCATCCAAGTCTTCCATCCATGAGTTCTGTTCATTCTGATTACCAGCTGTTGTTACCTTACCTCCCACAATGGATATGTTCATGGGATAATAGTTTGTAGATAGAAAATCCATGAAGTTCATTATACAGAGAAAGAAACAGAGGCCCAGAAATGTCATATGACGTAAGTGGTTGCAGAGCCAAGACCAGAACTCGGGTCTCAATTAATGAAGGATTTTTTTTAATGGTATAACCTGCTACATCTCTATAAAAGAAGAGTCTTGAGGGGCGCCTGGGTGGCTCAGTCCTTAAGCGTGTGCCTTCGGCTCAGGTCGTGATCCCAGCCCCACATCGGGCTCCCTGCTCCGCGGGGAAGCCTGATTCTCCCTCTCCAACTCCCCCTGCTTGTGTTCCCTCTCTCGCTGTGTTTCTCTCTGTCAAATAAATAAATAAAATCTTTAAAAAAAAAAGTCTTGATCCCCATAGATTTAAGGTGCTGATTTCCCAACTTTCCTGATAACATTGGCTGTGAGGTTTTTTAAAAGCATTGATTCTTGGGGCGCCTGGGTGGCTCAGTTGGTTAAGCTCCTGCCTTCAGCTCAGGTCATGATCCCCAGAGTCCTGGGATCAAACCCCTGTATCTGGCTCCCTGCTCAGTGAGGAGTCTGCTTCTTCCTCTCCCTCTGACCCTCCCCCTGCTTGTGGTCTTTCTTGCTCACAGTCTTTCAAATAAATAAATAAAATCTTAAATAAATAAATAATAAAATAAAATAAAAACACTGATTCTTGACACTGCCCATAGCAGCTTACTGATCCATAGTCTCTGATAGTGAAACTGTATTATTAAAAGGCACTCCAATTAAAAATATATATATTTTAAAGGTAAAAAAAAAAAAAAAGATGCCCAGGTAACTCTGATGTTTACCCAGGCTTGGAAACTATGGCTTTTGGTTTTGGTCACTGTAGGCTGTGCTCCAAATTTTCCAGTTTTCTGTGTTTGCTTTTCCTCTATCAGAAGCTTACCCTAATGAACTTGTCTTTCTTCTTAGTGGACAAAGCAACATTTATGGTTGGCAGCTATGGGCCTCGGCCAGAGGAGTATGAGTTCCTGACTCCAACTGAGGAGGCTCCCAAGGGCATGCTGGCCCGAGGCACTTACCACAACAAGTCCTTCTTCACCGACGATGACAAGCACGACCACCTTACCTGGGAGTGGAACCTGTCCATCAAGAAGGAGTGGACGGAATGAGTGCATCTGCCCATCCCTTTCCCTACCTTGCCACCCAGAAGTACCCTCTCAGTCATGTTCACCACCCTGTCCCTCCTCTCTGTTCACAGCTGGATTCCTTCCCCAATGCTCCCCACATTCTGTTATCCTCACATCTTATCCCGCAATGTCTCTCAAAGTGTTCCCTAGCACGACAAGCTTAAAACCCAGACTTTAATCCAGCCCATTTCTTCTGGCCCCCCATCATGGCCAGATCTTCAAAATTCTTCATTTCAATACCCAGTGATTTAATATTTCCTTCTATGTTTCCCATTTGAGCAACTAGAGGCCAGGAAATTGGCAAACCATCGCTAACAGTCCTTTTGCCTTGGGTTCCAGTAGCTCATTCCCATCCCTGGATTCTTCTGTGGTTGCTGCTGGCTCAGTGAAGGTCCCTAATCACATTCCCTACCAGTTGAGGTTCTTTTCTGGGAGACTGTAAACAGCACATAAATAAATAAATAAATAAATAAATAAATAAATAAATAAAACAATTATTGAGACCCTCATTTCCCTGCTTTCTTCCTTCGAACAAATATGATAACTAAATTGTTTACATTTGTTAGTTTCCTCAGAGGCCGTGTGGGCTGGACACAGTAGGAAAGGTATTTACATCACCAGGAAGAGTTTGGTCTCCCTGTTCCAGGGCAATGAGCAATGGATATTCAGGATATGAGTAATAGAGATCTTGAGTTATTTTACTTTATAGTAGTACCACATGGAACTTTGTCCTGAGCTTGAGACCTCTATATTTCACTGTCTATGGGAATCCTGTCTTGGATTTCTGAGGGCACCTGTGGGCCAAATCAGACACTGCCTCTTACCAGCTTATGATTTTTCAATGTAATCCCATCACCTAGAGAATAAGACCCTACACTTATTGTATAATGCCCCTTATAATCTGGCCTAATTTCAATTACTAATAATTCTCTCACACATTACATTTGTATCTCCGTGTTTCACTCTTTACATGAGACTCTCTTTCCACCTTTGTTGCCTGATGACATCCTATTTACAGAGGATTCTGCTTAGGCATCTGCTGCAGGAAGAAAACCTTCACTGAACCCTACCACTGTCCTAAATGTCCTCAAGTCTGTATTCTCATAGTATCCTATGAGTTTCTCAATTTTTTATCACATCCCATTTTATATTTAAATGATCTATTTGTCCATCTCTCACACTAACAATCCAAGCTGGGGAAGGCTGGATCAGATCATACTTACCTTTTGCATCCCTAGTGCTTAGATCAACACCTGCAAAGAATATTTCCTTTTTTTTTTTTTTTTTAATCCAAATGAACAACCTCGACTTTCTTCTGGTTGGTTATGTTCTGAGATCCTGTCATGGAACTTGGTCTTTTATCTCAGAAGTTGAAGGTTTTCATAGAGCCAGCTGCACAGTTCCCAGAACACTAACATCACCACAGCCAATTACCAGGAGCGGGCTGCCCTGAATCGGTCTCCCAAAACACAAAGTCCAGGGCTTGGAGAAGGAGCAGGAAAAGAACAATGGAAGCTGACCAATCCAGACTCCTGTTTCTATTATTTCTTTTCACATGGAGACTATCCCCAGAAGTTGCTGCAGAAGTTCAGGAATCATCAGGTAAAAAAAAAGCACTTGGGTGACCCTATGTTGTTAGGGGAAGGGAAGGGAACATGGGAATGCTCTAAGTACTTTTCCTCCAAACAGAGAACATTTTCAGGAAATGGAAAATGGATAAAGACCTGTGTTGCCCAGTGGAGAAAAGAGAAGTCTAGCGTCGCCCTTCAGAGAGAAACCATAAGGTGGAGTCACCCTCCATATGTTAGTAAAATAATAAGGCCTTGGAATGATGACAGTGCCCCTAGAGACCGTGATCTCTTCAGCCATAGTATATAGAGAAAAAGTAGAGATGCCCTCAGCATTTAGAACTCCTACCTTCCACTTGATACCCCAGCATTTTCTCCTTCTCTCTCTGTCACTCTCTAGATGGTTCTGCTTCTTCCCAGAAAACTGTGTCACTCACAGATGTCCCAGCGACCATGGAATTCATTGCTGCTGCTGAGGTGGCTGTCATAGGTTTCTTCCAGGTTTGTCCAGGTACCCTGTTTCTGTTCCCCCAAAGAACCAGGAACATCTTAGCTCAGAGCTGCCATGAGAGTCACCTGCTGGCCAGATGATACTGCACTAGAAGTCAAAGGGCACAAAGTCTGCTTTCAGCCTCTCAGTCGAGACCTCTCAATTTCAAAACATTCCCAGTCTCTGAATTATATCTTTCTCATACTTGCTTCAAGAGTTCCGAGGCTCCTCATCTAGGAGTGCTTTGGAGTCCATATTGGGACTGCCAAGGTAGGCGCCAGAGTAAATTCAACTTCTATCATCCAGGAAACACAGTAGCCAATGGTTAATCTCTGTCTAAAGCCTTACCAAATAGGTAGTCCCTCATCTTTCTAGCTCTTCGTTTGTTCTGAAATGTTGAGAAAGGATGACCTTTTGAATATTGAAGGCGTTAGTGCCATCTTCCAGATTGGCTGCCTGGCTAATGAAAGCAACCATACATGAAAGGGCACCACTCCAGCATTTTTTCTTTCTTTGAAGGTAACATCTGGTTATTCTCACAGATCAAGCCCCTGCTCTTATTGCAGACCTTCTTATCCATTTCCATTAATTAGTTACAACTCTCCACCACCCTGGCGATTCTGTGTACACAGCTGGAAATGGCTGCAATGAGATGCAAGTGGGGAAGGAAGACAAGGGAGCCCATTTCTCTGCGTGGAGAAATCTGAGGTGGAGACCACAGCAGCCACCCTCGGGAAGGCAACAGAAGTGGGAATGGAGGCATTTGCAATAACTTAAGCAGCCACCAGACGCCGTCCATCATTTGATCCATGAGTAATTCCACACTAAGGAGAATCAAAAAGGGGGAAGCCTAGATTAGCAATTGTTCTTAGCCTCGAATGAACTCCACACACCTTTTCCAAGGAGCAAGACACCAACTCCCTCTGCTTGACCCCAGAGGGAAGGCTAGTCAGTTTCTTTTCTTTTTGCACTTCTCCCCCTCCGGCCCAGAAAGATGTCAGAAAAGGCCATGCTCCCTCCTGTTTATTGTCTGGAGCTGCTCTGGGCAAAGGTCCTGTGACTGCAGGGAAAATGATGGCAGCTTGTTATGGAAGGACTGGAATCTTAACTTAGACGTGGCTTCCCTGCTCCCTCCTGCAGGCCTGGGTTCTAGCGTTGGAACAACATAGGAACAGTATCTTTCACGGGCAATACCTCAGGCTTAATGCAGGAAAAGAAGACCGTTCTTCCACATCCCACACAAACCTTTGTTCATAAAACTTCCAAGCTTCCATTTTAATTTCCTTTATTCTTATTTTTTTTTTTTCCTTTTTGGCTCTTTGACAGCACCTAGTTCTTATTTTTGCATTTCTTCTTTCCTCCACAAATTGTTCCCAAAACTTTTGCCTCCTCGGGTGGATCAGTGACAGTGCAGCCAAACTCTGCAGGCCTCTCTGATTTGGGGGCCCCTCTCTGCTCATAAACTACAAGCTTTATGATAAGGCCAGACAAGAGTTTCAGGCTGAGCTACAGTTTTGTAGTTACCTATTAGCCCACCCCGCCTGGAAAATTCAACAATCCCACTGCAAATTTAGCCTGCATTCTTAGGGGTAAAGGTTTTTCACCTGACAATAAATCAAGTCTATGATATTTTTAGATGAGTGAGCACATTTCTATTCCCTATTCTCTATGTCTTTCCTCTCTAACATAATCCCTGTGGGTTGTTGTTGTTTTTTTTTTCTCGTTTTTTTTTAGGATTTAGAAATACCAGCAGTGTCCCTAATCCATAGCATGGTGCAAAATTTCCACGATGTGTCATTTGGAATCAGCACTGATTCTGAGGTTCTGGCCCACTACAATATCACCGGGAACACCATTTCCCTCTTTCGCCTGGTAAGTTGGGTGGGCTTCTCGAGGCTTTTTCCAGTTTTTCCTTAGGTTATAGATTCATGAACTTGTGAGCGTGGAAAGGCTCTATGCCTTTAACGCTAATGATGGTGCCAGAGACCGAGGAGTCAGGGACAGTGATGACAAAGATGGTGGCTCCGCTCAAGCTTCCCAAACAGGTGCTGTCATGAGATGGAGAGAGAACTGGACTGAGCATCAAGAGGTAGGATTGCAGCAGAGCTTTGTCACTGACCAGGCACATGACTTGTGCAAGTCACTGGACGTTTTTTAGCTTCAATTCCTTCATCTGTAAAATAAAAGAATTTGACGTTATCATAGCTAAGGTCATTTTGAGCTCCAAAATTTTATATTTTTATATCCTTGGGAGTTCACTTACATTTACCAAACATGTATTAAATAACCACTGTGCCCTCTGCAAGATACTGATAATAAAAACATGTTAAATATGTTCTCTGCTCTCATAGGTCTTAAAATATAGTCGAGAATGTAAACATAGTTTACAAGTATCTACAATGCAAAGAGCATCACTATGGATAAAGTATGATAGTCATTAAAAGGATAAATGCAAGATAGGGATTCTGGCAAAAAAAAAAAATGATGAAGGAGACAACTGAACTGGGATTTAAAGGAGAGATAAAATTTGGACAAAGTAGAGGAGAATTCATGTCCAAGATGGGAATAATATCAAACTTAGGAAACAGTGATTAAGCCAATTTGACTGGATCTCTGGGTACATGTTTAGAGAAAATAAATATACAAGAAGCTTGATTAAAGCCACATTATGGAGAAATTTGAATACCAGGTTAGTGGGTTTGCATTTAACTTGGTTGGCACTGCAAAGCCCTTAAAGCCTTTAGATCCAGGAGTAACATGAACAGGAATGTGTTTTAGCAAGATGATTTTGTCAGAGATGACTAGGGTGGATTGTTAAGCAAAAACACAAGAGTAGAGAGGACTTTTGTTAGGCTGACAAAATCAACCATGTACTAAGGGTCTGTAGCAGAGAGGGGTCTGCAGTAGAGAGGGGATAAAAGAAAGTGAAGAAAAGGGGCGCCTGGGTGGCTCAGTCGGTTAGGCACCTGCCTTCGGCTCAGGTCACGATCTCGGAGTCCTGGGATCGAGTCTCACATCAGGCTCCCTGCTCAGTGGGGAGCCTGCCTCTCCCTCTGCCTCGGCCCCTCCCTCCTCCTCCCTTCTCCTCCTCTCCCTCCTCCCCCCCCCTCCCCCCCCCCCCCCCCCCTCACGGACTCTTTCTCTCTCGAATAAATAAATAAAATCTTTTTTTTAATTTTATTTATTTATTTGACAGAGAGAGACACAGCGAGAGAGGGAACACAAGCAGGGGGAGTGGGAGAGGGAGAAGCAGGCCTCCCGCCGAGCAGGGAGCCCGATGCGGGGCTCCATCCCAGGACCCCGGGATCATGACCCGAGCCGAAGGCAGACGCTTAACGACTGAGCACCCAGGCGCTCCTAAATAAAATCTTTTTTAAAAAATTATAAAAAAAGAAAGAAAGTGAAGAAAAGGCAGGTCCTGCTAATGATTAAACATAAAATTTCTGGAAAAGAGGCAAAGTTTAAAGCCAGGATATGAACGAATAGTGAAGGCATATACAAAAATAGGGATTTCTGATGCTTTAGTTAGTTGTTAAGTTTGTATTGTTGGTGGAATATCAAGAGAAAGATGTACAGAATCTACTGGAAATGCAAAATTGGGACAAAAGATAAAGTTTTCAAGATTTCTGCACTAAACGTCTTTCCCCCTCTAGCCTCCATCCTATATATTTCACTTCTCACCCAAATCTCTTTTAAATGTCTTTTATATTCAGTGTCTCGAATTTTCTTCAAGCTCTTAAAGACCCTGTTATCTAATCTATGCCCCACACTCCATTAAAACTGCTTTCCTCCAGGTCAGCCTGGCTTCCACATTTCCAAACCCAGTGAACACGCTTTAGGTCTTATTTAAGTGAACATGTCTGCCATATTTGACTTTGTTGACTGTCTCTTTAGCATTCTTTCTTTCCTTAACTCCTAAGAGCCCACTTCTGGTCCTCTTGTTCTTTTCTTAATCTGCTTGAGATGTTCTCTGCCTCCATGTACACTGTTTCCTGACCCCAGTGCTCTTCCCAATCTGGGTTATTAGAATTTGAGTTCTGTAGAAGCAGAGACTATTTTGTTCACACCTTCAATTACAGAGCCTAAAAAAGTGTCAGTCATGGAGCAGGTGTCCATTAAGTGTTTGTTGAGTGAATCAGTGAATGAATGAATGTGTTTTCCTTAGGTAATACAATTCTTTTTGTTTGACTATTATACGTCTACTGAGGATCTGAAATGTTTTCTCTCTAGCCTGGACCTCTCTCATGATTCAAATGCTTGCTGCATATAATTATTTGGGATAGTTTCATTAAACATTACAGTCCTAACGTGTTCAAAACTGAATTTATCATCTGCACCTGCTAAGTTATACTCTTTCCTCTAAAACACTTTTATTGAATGGCTATGTTCATTTAGTCTAATTTTTGCCAATTGTACCTCAAATCTGATTGAATCTATATTCCCCTTCACTCTTTTGACTTCATTCCTCATTTAGGTCCTTAGCATCTTTGGCATAAACCATTTCAATAGCTTCTTAATTAGTCTCCCTTTGCTACTTCACATCCAAATTCTAGATTGTTATCACAATGATGTATTTAAAATGGAAAGTTGACCATGACATTCCCTTCTTAAAAACACCTCAATATTCTCCTTTTCTTACAAGATAAAAACCAAGATATTTAACAGTACATATAGTCTTTTATGACCTGGCCACTGCCTGCTTCTCTAGTCCCTTTTTTAGCACATTCCCATGGTAGGCTTTACTCTCCCGCTACACAGTGTGATAATACAATTCTATGACTTCACACAGGCCCCTGCCTAGAATGCCACCACCTTCAATGGTCCCTGTCACTTAGCCTCACCCAGCAACCTCCTCCTATCCCAGTGAGTCAGTTGAGGCATTGTATCCTTCACAAAGCCTCCACGGAATCTTCAAATTGGCCTACCTATGCCTCTATACTTCCATATCTCTATTTACATTTACCACTTTATAGTACATGTCATATATCTCTGTGTCTGTCTCACCTAATATGACATTAGACCATGAGCTATTCAAGGGCAGGAACCACGACTTATGCACGTTTGTATTCCAAAGCTCCACAATATGCCTCTGGTCACGAAGACACTCAGAAGTGCTTGAGAAATTGACTCACCTCCCAAAGTACATCTGAGTCCCTAATCCTTTGCTTACCTGGACAGCAGCTGCAGGTTGTTATTGTCACCATCGTGAAATAGGATTAAACCGAGCTCTTCTGTGAAAAGCTTTGGTAAGACAGCTATGGAAGGTTATTCTAATGCCTTTCATGTGACTGCTGAACCACTGGGAGTAACCCTTCCATAGAAAAAGTGCTGATCAGCTACACGTTCACAAGTCCTTCTTTTCCCAGTTCGGTGTTTATAAATCTCACAAAGGCCTGATTGAAAAGTCTTAGTACTAAAAAAAATTTAAAAATTAAATAAATAAACAAACAAACAAATAAATAAGTCTACTAAGATACACATGTGGGGAAGAAAAACTAGAGCTGTTCCTTCCAATGTCTCTACAGGCTTTCTGACCTCTAATGGGTGCACTAGCCTGGCTTACCGTGTATTCTTTTTAAAGCCCTGTTGATGACTTCCCAGGGCTGTTCACGCTTCTTTAGCATCTGTTTTTTGTTTACCACTAGTGGCAACACCTACTCTAAATGAACTCCTGGGAACCCTGCGGATGAGATTATTGATGTACCATACCAAAAACAAACATACCAGTTCCTGCCCTGCTCCATGGGCAGGTCTGGGAGAGGTTCAACCTATGCCGCACCAGCTTTGAGATAAACATATTTGTCTCAGTTTCTACTTTCAAAAGTTTAGTCCATATTTAAATAGAATTATTATTTAGGAGTTTGGGATGATTTTTTTCTTTTTTTAGAAGAACATCAACCGAGACTATTCTTTTTTAAATTGGGAAAAGTGAACCTGTTGCGAAATTTTGGGTACCTACCTTCATCTTAAATGTATAGTTCATTCTGTTTGTTTTGTGTTATGATAGATGTTATGCTAGGTGTTTTTCAGTGTTCTACCATTTAATTCTCAAGAGAATCTGATGAAATAATTATTATTATCCCTGCATTATCAGTAAGGACACTAAAGCTCCCTACTCTATAGTCTCACAACTATGGAATAAACAGACGTCTGATTCATACCCAGAATTGCTGTCTCCAAAACATGCCATTTCTATGATACTATAGTGACTTTCTGAAGCACGTAAGCCTGACAAAAACCTTTGTTTTTACTCCTAGATTCTATCAGACTCCTCATTCTCAAGCCCACTTAAAATTAAGCCTTCTCTTAAATCATTTCTCTATCCCCCTGGAACTACTTCAACCCTAGGATTACTTCTCAAGATTTAATCTAGGCATTACATATGTTGGCAAAGAAATCTCAGAATGTAGACATAGAGAATTTTCAATTGTAAGAACATATTTAGAGACAAGCTGGAATAATGATAAGTGGAAAAACAGTAAGATTGTAATGAGTTGACATTACTAGATGCTTTGAAATGTTAGAGCAATATGAAGCCAGCTAGTGCTATATTCGTGGAACACATCACTCTCCAGAAAGAGTGCAGGCCAACTCTATAAGTGTGATCAGAAAGAATTTAAGTCAGTGAAACAATAATAAGTTGTGTATGACAACCTGTTTGGTGTGTGTGACAGCTTGTCTTTTGTTGAGTGTGACAGCAGGCAGACCCTCCACCCTCTCTGACAACACTCCCGTTGTTGCCCTAATGGAGATGTAATCCTGGGTTGAATAAACCATGAGCCTGTTCTAAAATGGAATTTCAGATATTATTTGAATGTTTATCCTGCTTTGGCTTTCCTCAATCACCTCTTTTTTAAGAAATATAATTGCCT